TCCCGCTCGGCCGATGGCCGTGCGCCGCCCGTGCACCACCACCACGTCCGCGGCCGAGGCCCGCGGGGCGCCGCTCAAGCACGGCGCGGCCTCCGGCGCCGAGCCCGAATCGGGCCGGCCCTTGAGGTGGCCTAGCACCACATGCAGCCTCCGCATTGCGCAGCTCGGACCGTAGACCAGCCACCAGTGCGGGAACAGACGGTCGGAGCCGGTAGACCGTCGCCCGCGCAGGCGCAGAGCCACACCTCTGCCCCCAGAGCGAGAAACAACGCCCACAGCCCGGTTTGACAGACGCTATCTTCCCTCCAAAAGTCCCGCCCACCTCCAGCCTCAGCCAATCAGAAGGCGAGACTGCCCGAGCCCCCGCCTCCCCCGTTCCCCGCCTCCGACCCTGCCCTCTAAAGCACGGCCAGTGGTCACCGCCAACACGGACTGTCCACTCAAAATCCCGCCTACCGTAGCCTGCCGCGGCCAGTCAGGAGGCGAACGTTTCTGAAGCTCCGCCCGGAAGTGCAGACTGGAAAACTTTCAACTTTTGCAATCTTGTTGCCAAACCCGAGGCGCAGCACTGCACACTGGCCACAGCCAAACAGAAAGCCCAGCTGGGAGTCCTGCCTACGGCTTCTTGCTGGGGGTGGAGACTGAGGCCTGGAATGTAATTCTTCTTCCACCTTCCTGGTCCGCTCTTCTATTCCCGGGTCTCAGTACCCAAGCTGGGGGATCTAAATACTTCCAAGACGCCCGAGTCCTACTTCGACGTGGTCGGACTGTCCCAGGAAGTCTTTTGAGAAGACCGAGGGGATTTGCAATTACAGGCCGGCAGGGAGAAAGGATTTTACAAAGGTGCTGAGGTGTGACAAGCTCTCTAACGAGAGAGGGAACATCAAACACTTCTTTTACCGATTTCACACCCATTTGGGGTGATTTGATGAGTGCCCACCTCTCGCCCTGTAGGCTGGGGTCTTCACCAAGGCAGAGAGGTAACCCGTATCCGGGGATCCTGCAACATGCTTGACACTTAGTAGGTAATCAGTAAATACCTGTTGAATGAATAAACGATATAGGGCTCCCCCGATCAGGACTGTGTCCCCAACCCTAAAGAGCAAGGCCAGATTTCCCCTTGACTCTCAGTGGCAGATCCATGTGTTCACCTGATACTGCGTTTCCCCCGGACACCAAAGGACAGGGCGTAATCCCTGATCCTGAAGGGTAGAGTTGTGACCTCTCCTCCCTATCGAAGGCAAGGCCACACAGTATGCCTCAGTCTCCAGAAGGCAGTTCGCCTTTTCCCACTCCCACCTCGAGTGCACAGCCCGTCCCTCCCTATGCTCCTACGGGCAGGATTGTGTGTTCCTCAGAGACCCCGGAGAGCCGAGCAAGGTCCCTCTCCGTCGTCCCCTCCCTGACATCCTCCATGGCAGGACCGTATGAATGTCTCAGGTCCCCAGTGGAAGGGATATGACTCCATCAGATCCCAAAGAGCAAGGCCCGTTTCCTACAAACCCCGAAGGAGGGTACCCCCCACTCCTCGCCCACACACCACCACCACCAGACCCTCAAGAGCATTTCCATCGACCTCTCCAGATCTCAAAAGGCAGGTTCTGGGTTTCTTCTTAGCTGCTCCTGGAGACCCCGAGGGCAGGAATGGGGAGCCCCAACCTCCGCACTCCTGCGCGGGGCTCCAGATTGTAGTGCAGGGCGGAGCTGCTCCGAAAGCGAAAGCCAAAGCCGGCGGGGCGAGGCGGGGCGGGGGCTGTAGGGGAAGGAGGAAGCTCTGACAAGAGACGCGCTCCGACAGCGCAGAGGCTCCAGGACTGCCAGCCATGGCTGCAGGAGGTCCGGGTTCAGAGTCCGCGTCCCCCGCCCCTTCCATGTCCTCCCTGCCCCTGGCTGCGCTCAACATGCGGGTGCGGCGCCGCCTGTCGCTGTTCCTGAACGTGCGGACGCAAGTGGCATCCGACTGGACTGCGCTGGCCGAGGAGATGGACTTCGAGTACTTGGAGATCCGGCAGCTGGAGACACACGCCGATCCCACAGGCAGGCTGCTGGACGCCTGGCAGGGACGCCCGGGCGCCTCGGTAGGCCGACTGCTCGAGCTGCTCGCTGCGCTGGGCCGCGACGACGTGCTGGTGGAACTGGGGCCCAGCATTGGTGAGGACGCCTTGAGGAGGCCTTGTATTGGGGTCGGGGGCGGGGGGAGGCTGACCTTCACCGGCCTCAGCTTCCAGTCTCCCAGGAAGGGGCCCCCGTTTCCTGCTTCGGTGGCTAGAGAACCCTGCAAGGGAGAACTATGGAAGCCCAGTTCCCTCTCAATATCCGGGACACTAGAGGGACTAGCGAAGGGCAGTGAAGGCCGTGAGAGGCGGAGAAGGGAAGGAAATAGCTTAGGCAAAGGCTTTCAGGTAAGCAGGCAGGGCCAGGAGTCAGGATCAGGCTTGTCTGGGGGCATCTGGGTTGTTTCAGTAAAGCAACAAGACGGGTGCGGGACTGGAAGCCGACTGTCTTGGAAAACTCAGGTCTCGGGGCTATGCAGCCCCTCCTGCTACTCACCGGCACACAAGTAATACACATGCGCAGGCGCAGAACACAGCCACCCACAGACAGGCACACCTCGCTGGGTTGAGGTCTCTGCCCTCACTGTTCCATAAACCCTGGGTCTCCTGAGCCCTTCATGCACCCCCAGCCCCTTGCTCACATTCACCCTGGATCCCAGAAGAAGCAGACCTTGGTTCCATTCTCAGGAGTCCTAAGAAGGGGGGCCAGGACAATGGAACAGAGAGATACAATCCTAACCTTGGTAGCTTCCCAGATAGCCAGAACACATTGACATCCCTTTGGGACAGTCGGAGCTGGTGAGAGCTCAACTTCTCAGAGCTGCTGAGCTGCCAATGGCACCAGTGGACTAGAGAAGACGCGGAGCACAACAGGGCCAGAGGAGGTGGGACAGGGGCTGGATCCCGACTGTGGATAGAGGGGTGGGGCAACCCTGGGCAGCCTGCTACACCCTGTCTCTTCCCTGCAGAGGAGGATTGCCAAAAGTATATTTTGAAGCAGCAGCAGGAGGAGTCTGAGAAGCCCTTACAGGTGGCTGCTGTAGACAGCAGTGTCCCACGGACAGCGGAGCTGGCGGGCATCACCACACTCGATGACCCCCTGGGTAAGCGCCTAACACTGTTCTCATCAGACATTGTGGTGTTGAGAGCATAGATGTTGGAAGCAGATGGGTTGTGGGATCTTGGGAAAGTCACATAATCTTGCTTAGTCTCAGTTTCCTCACCTAAGAAATGGAGATAATAGTCCTACCTCAGGGCTGCTGTGAGACTCATGAAACGATGCATCTGTCTCATGGATAACCCAGAGCTTGGCCCCCCAGGGGAACTCATCTTTCCTCTCCTGGGAAAGGCACTTTATCTGAGTAGTGTCATCTTGGGATGGGTGTAGGACTCCAGACCAGGGTTGTCTAGGCTGGGGACTCTTGGCTGCACTCCTCCCTAGCCTTTCTGTGGAGCTCTGACCATTCACTCTTGTGCTCTGCACCCAGGGCAAATGCCTGAGCGTTTTGATGCCTTCATCTGCTACTGCCCCAGTGACATCCAGTTTGTGCAGGAGATGATCCGGCAACTGGAACAGACAAACTATCGGCTTAAGTTGTGTGTGTCTGACCGTGATGTCCTGCCTGGCACCTGTGTCTGGTCCATTGCCAGTGAGCTCATCGAGAAGAGGTTGGCTAGGGGGCCAGAGGGTGGGTGAGTGGGTGTATAAAGCCCTACCCAGGGGTAGAGGCTGGGTTTCTCCTCTGAGCTGGTCCCTGTCTACCCTGGGCACAGTGGGTCCCTCCTGAGGCCGTCCCCTGGGGGTATGCTGAACTAAGTTGCCATTGGTGCCTGGAGCCTGCCCATTCTCCCCTAGGTGCCGTCGGATGGTGGTGGTTGTCTCTGATGATTACCTGCAGAGCAAGGAATGTGACTTCCAGACCAAGTTTGCTCTCAGTCTCTCTCCAGGTAAGCTCAGCCCTGCCCTGGCCAGAGAGGAGCAGGTAGGCAGGGTGTCAGGATGCCAGCCTTCGCAAGGGCCGTGAATGCAGCACCAAGGAACTCTTGCAGGTCTCTGTACACCTGAGCGTGTGTGCACATGTGTGCCTCTTTGTGTAGGTGAATGTCAGGGGTGCCTTGGGGGAAGGGCTATTGTTAACCCCTGGGCTGGGGACTGGACCTGCTCCACCATGGGGCAAGGGCCGAGTGCCAGCACTGCATTCCTGACTTGCAGGAGCCCATCAGAAGCGACTGATCCCCATCAAGTACAAGGCAATGAAAAAGGAGTTCCCCAGCATCCTGAGGTTCATCACTGTCTGCGACTACACCAATCCCTGCACCAAATCCTGGT